GAATAGGTAATTAATTTTTTGGTAAAATCGAAATCATTTTTATTGTTGCTACCCTGCCGATTATGGAGATTGGGAGGTTGAGCCACCTGAGCAAATCATCTTCTATTTTTTTTAGCAGTGGTGTGAAGTTGAGTGTTACCAACTCTGACAGTCTGGAGGAAATCTTAATGGCTAAGTAAGTGATGTGACCTTGACAAATAGGTATTGGTGATTGAAGGGGTGCCACATCCCATTTGGTTTTATGTAAAGGGAGGATGGAAGATTTATTCCAGTTTATTGCATAATCAGACATTTTTGAGAAGGACTGGATTGTTTTAATTATTTCTTTAGTAGATGCTAGGGGTTCTTGTAGTAGGATATCATCTGCATAGAGTGAGATTTTATGTGTTTGTTGTGGTGTTTCAATACTTTTGATTGCTGGGTTTTGACGGATAGCTGCTGCTAAAGGTTCAATAAAAATCGTGAATAGGGATGGAGAGAGTGGACATCCCTGCCTCATCCCCCTGTGCAGTGTGAAGCTTTGTGATGTTAGTCTGTTCATTGTGACTGTGGCCGATGTGTATAAAATCTTGATCCAGTTAATAAATGACTCTCCAAAGCCGAATTTTTGTAACGTGGTGAATAAAAATTTCCAGTTAACCCTGTCAAAAGCTTTATCGGCGTCTAATGTGGCAATGAGGGTATCTTTCTGTTGTACTGATGAGTGTCATGATACACACACACAGGAAACGTTAGATCCAAATGCAGTATTTTTAATGGGAAATCCGTACTCACAAAACGAGTCCAGGCAAAGGGTCAAAATTCCAGAAAGGCAGTCCAAAACATAAAACAAAACAAGAAGCAGACAGAATACAGACAACCGAAGTGTGGTGACAATAAACAAGGAATCCACAATGAACACAGAAACAGACAGGGTATAAATTGTCAGATACAAATGATGTGAGTGGAAACAGCTGAGAACAATGATCAGTAAGTGACAGAACAGGAATTATGGGAAATGCAGTTCCAGATAGTGAATGACACCGTGGGGAAGGAGGACATCTAGTGGACACAACCCAACACTGTGACATAACCCCCTCCCTACGGAGAGACTACCAGACGCTACATCAGGCTAGGGCGGGGCAGGAAGGAACAAACCAGGGCGGGACGGGAGGGACAGACCAGGGCGGGAGGGACAGACCAGGGCGGGGCGGGAGGGACCGACCAGGGCGGGACCGGAGGGACAGAGACATCAGGCGACCGGGGCGAAACAGAAAGTCTATAGGGCAGTGAGGGAGAAGCACAGAGTTCATTGGGCGGAGAGGGAGAAACACAGAGTCCATCGGGTGGTGAGGAAAAAACACAGAGTCCATCGGGCGGTGAGGAAAAAACACAGAGTCCATCGGGCGGTGAGGAAAAAACACAGAGTCCATCGGGCGGTGAGGAAAAAACACAGAGTCCATCGGGCGGCCAGGGTGGTGAAGACCCCTCGGGCGGCCAGGGCGGTGAAGACCCCTCGGGCGGCCAGGGCGGTGAAGACCCCTCGGGCGCCAGGGCGGTGGGCAAGGGCGGTGACCCCTCTTGCGGCCAGGGCGGTGAAGACCCTCGTGCGGCCAGGGCGGTGAAGACCCCTCGTGCGGCCAGGGTGGTGAAGACCCCTCGTGCGGCCAGGGCGTGGTGAAGACCCCTCGTGCGGCCAGGGCGGTGCAGACCCCTCATGCGGCCAGGGCGGAGCAGACCCCGGCTCAGGAACAGACCTCGGCTTAGGAACAGACCCCGGCTCAGGAACAGACCTCGGCTCAGGAACAGACACCCGCTCAGGAACAGACACCCACTCAGGAACAGACACCAGCTCAGGAACAGACCCCGGCTCAGGAACAGACCCCGACTCAGGTACAGACCCCGACTCAGGAACAGACCCCGACTCAGGAACAGACCCCGACTCAGGAACAGACCCCGACTCAGGAACAGACCCCGACTCAGGAACAGACCCCGACTCAGGAACAGACCCCGACTCAGGTACAGACCCCGACTCAGGAACAGACCCCGACTCAGGAACAGACCCCGACTCAGTAACAGACCCCGGCTCAGGAACAGACCCCGGCTCAGGAACAGACACCGGCTCAGGAACAGACACAAGAACAGAAAAGGTCACAAGGACAGACACAAACACAGACATAGATACTGGGTCCGGAACCGACATGAGCTCCAGCTCTGGAACAGGCACTGGCTCTGCCTCCGGATCAGGAACCGGCACTGGCTCTGCCTCCGGCTCAGGAACAGGCACTGGCTCTGCCTCCAGCTCAGGAACAGGCACTGGCTCTGCCTCCGGCTCAGGAACAGGCACTGGCTCTGCCTCCAGCTCAGGAACAGGCACTGGCTCTGCCTCCGGCTCAGGAACAGGCATTGGTTCTGCTTCCGGCTCAGGAACCGACACTGGCTCTGCCTCCGGCTCAGGAACAGACACCGGCTCAGGAACAGACACTAGAACAGAAGCAGACACAAGGACAGACAAAAACACAGACACAAACACAGGGTCCGGAACCGACATGGGCTCCAGCTCTGGAACAGGCATGGGCTCAGCCTCTGGAACAGGCATGGGCTCAGCCTCTGGAACAGGCATGGGCTTTGCCTCTGGAACAGGCATGGGCCCTTCCTCTGGAACAGGCATGGGCTCTGGGTCAGGTACATGAACCGTAATGACGGGCATCTCCAAAATCCTAGTCAGACTCTCCAGATAGTCTGTCACAACCTTGGCGGCCACGCCAAAGGGGATCTCTGGCTCGGTCTCAGACTGGACAGACGGGGCATGAAGAGTCTCTCGCTGGGCAGACGGGACGTGAACAGTCTCTCGCTGGGCAGACAGGACGTGAGCAGTCTCTCGCTGGGCAGACGGGAGGTGTCTCCTTCTCCAGACCACCGGAACCAGGACCACCGGAACCGGGAACACCGGGATAGACACGGAGGAAGTCTTCCTTTTCCTCCTCCTTTTCGGGACCATCGGAACTGGGACCCCCGGAAGAGGGACCCTCCTCCTGGCCAACCGAGTTCCCTCAAACGACCGTCCGTGTTCGATGGAAGGGGGCTTGGAAGGTTCTACCACCACGGTCTCCTCCGTAATGTCCATAATTCAAAGCACTCAAAAATATTCATCCGAGGTGGCACCTTCCCCGATGGCGAACTCCCCCTCTGATGTTTCCTCTGTCTCGCTGTGGCTGGGGAAGAGGCAGGAAAACCCATACCGCTGGATCTATTCATGGTGGATTCCTTCTTTCACGATACACATACACATGAAACTAGGGATGGCTGACGCGAAACAGACGTTCCGAAGCTTTGCGAGATCCCGAAGCAAAAATGATTCGAAACACTGATCCGAAGCGTGATTCAAAACACCCACAGTCACGTGACAAAGGCTAAATGAAGCTTCTACGTGTTTCATCAGGTGGAGTGCTCCGCCGAATCAGGGTTTGATTGATAGGTCGGTCGGGAAGGATCCTATTCTTAAAGTCTTGTGCTGTTTTATGAAGGCAAAAACCCATATAATGGTTTCGATTTTAGTTCATTGGCAAAATATAAAGCTAGAGACAATGTTAGTTTATACTTTTTACACCTCATGTTCGGCAAAAGCCAGGCTCGAACTCGAGGCTGAGCACATCAATTACTCTTTCAAAAATTACGCGCTCTCCGATCTACACCACTGTAGCTGTTCGTGACAGGCCTGTTTTTGCTCAAAACATCAATCTATAAGAAAGTGAGACATTGTGGCTTGATTTGTTTTATTAATATTAATTTTTCATGACCAAAATAACATTATGCAATGTGAAGAGACTACAGGTTACAAGCATCATATATTTAAAAAATACAATAATAAAAAAACAAATTGTTGTAAAGGTTGTTTCAGATCAACACCTTCAATTGACCACTAGGTGTCACCATGGAGAAGGGTGTCGGATTGATTCGAAGCCTCGAAACAATATAGCACATTTGCTTCAACTGTTTCATTGCTTCACAAAGCCTCGATCTGCCCATCACTATTCAATAGTTTACTTAAACTCCAAACAACAAACAGGTACAGGAACAGGCAGGAAAACTCTCAAAACACATGGTAACATAAACAACGAACGACAATGAATGAATGGGACAGAGGGAACTAAATACATGGAAGAATCAAACATAATGAGGTGCAAACAGGTGAAACAGATGAAACAAGACGCTGAACGGGAGGCTGATGAGGGAGTGAGTTCAGGTGTGCAGACGAGAGGATCATGGGAAGTGTAGTGTAGGAGACGCAGACAGAACGGCGCAGACGAGACTGTGCCAGGTGGGAGGCTTTCTGGCTACAATTTGGCAACAAATTTTCTTATCTAATAAAGTGTTTGAAGTCTCAATTAAAATTATTCACAATTCCTACCCAGTTAATTATAAATTTGCTAAATTCTATAATAGTATTTCCCCCTTGTGCTCATTTTGTCATGAGTTTGACGAAATGATTATTCGTTTGTTTTGGGACTATATGTATTGCAAAATCTTTTGGGTTGACTTTTCAAATTTCATTTAAAGGTATCTTTCTTTAGACTTCTGTATAAGCCAAAAAAGTTTTTTGGTGACTCTATGAAATTAGTCCCCTTTCATTTTAAATTTGTACTTAATTTGTTACTTTTTCTTGCCAAATTTTATATTCAAAAGTGTACATTTTCAAAGAAAACTCTTTTTTTGTTTTTAAGAAGGATATTGATATGTAAATTTAAATTAATTGAAGAACTCTAAAAACTACTGCATGTAAGACTCTACAATATTGTCGATTATTTAAGCGTGTTCAATGTTAGTTATGTTTATGGATTGTAACCCTCTGTATTGTTGTATTGTGTATTTCTGTCTTGATTTGTATTTGTTATTACTGCATAAATAAATTTAAAAAAAGTTACTTCACTATGTTGAGCGAAACTATGAAAGGAAACATGTCTTACGTAAGATGCCTAAATATATTATAACCTGAACATGCACTCTCTCTTTTCTCTCAGCTCCATATTGTCCATTACAATACAGAGGTTTATGCTAATATGACCGAAGCTGCGACCCAAGAAAATGGCTTGGCTGTGTTAGGGATTCTGATTGAGGTGATTTAATAAAACCCTAATCATATCACCCTATATCATATACTATATATATATATATATATATATATATAATTACCACTCAAACTTTATATCATTCATTTGTTTGCTTTTTCAGGCAGGTGAAAATAATAATCAGGCATATGGTAATATTCTCAACTATCTGGTCCGGATCAGATATGCAGGCATGTATTTGTGTGCATGTGTGAGTATGTCTACTGTAGCTATACATGTGTGATTACTGTGCTTCAGCCTTTTGGGTTATTTGTAAATCAACATACAAGAAATACAATTTCATTAAAATGTTTACAACTTTTAACATTTGTTTGAATTTTTTTAGGCCAGAAGGTGGCTATCCCTGCATTTGATGTACAGTCACTGTTGCCTGACAACCTCAGTGAATATTTCCGCTACAATGGCTCACTCACCACGCCACCCTGCCACCAGAGTGTCCTCTGGACCATCTTTAATGAAAGGGTGAAAATATCTCATTCACAGGTACAAAGAGACTATGTGAAAGCTCAAGCAATGCTTACTTTTCATATTGAATAGTTCAGTCATGACAATTCTTGAGATAAACTGTCATATTCATAATACTGGATGTGTCAGTAGTGGCCTTGGTGTAATATCCTCTTAAGCTGCTGCTGCAAAGCAAGTAGAAAGAGACCCACACAAATGTTGTGGCTATCATGTAAAACATGTTATTAATAATTAGTCCATCTCCATCTCAATTATATCACCATTTCCCCTCATAGACAGTAAAAGAAATGGCCAGAGCGATCTCATTGGAACTCCATTGAGACGATTGAAGCCTGTTTTTGGCGATTTTTTAGCACTTCCATTCCTGACGCGCAGACTCAAACAGAGCTTGACTACGTAGATGTGACGAGAGCAACCCGTCTGTCTTCTAGTGCTGTGGCATGAGAAATCTGAATAAGTCCCTTCCGAAACAAGCAGAGGCGGAGAGTGTGAATAGGAGCTGTCCATGAGCTAGGAGCAGGAGACACTTTTGCTAGGTATTCTGATTAATTATTTTGTCATTTTGCCTCCACGTTTTCCTGATTGCGTGCACGCTTCTTCTCCTGTCCATACGGTAATCTCTCAACTGTGCGACAGAGAGTCGCATGGGTATGACGCAATCGTTAGCCTACTTTCACTAAAACTGCTTCTACGGGGCCATAAGCTACAAGGTAATGGAGCATTTTATACATTGTCGTGTTTCTTTACAAATAAATAAAGGACAAATGGGGTCTTCAAACGCCTCAGATGTAAAGTTATTCGCTGTCAAAGTGACGCCAAAATGAATGGGAGTCAATGGGAATGCTAACGCAAGTGAATTTCTGCTACAAGATGGCAGCTCCCGTGAGGCTTCAACTTCCGGCCGATGGATTACCCCCTTGTTTCCCCTTAGCACCTGTGACCTCCCCAACCCCTTCTTCTTCTCTCCCTCTCTTAAAGAAACCACATCCTAGCAATTTTCCCAGGTGACCCTTAGTGGCCAGGATGAAAATTACACCCTGTATTAGTGGTGTTTGCTTTGAAAATGATTCATTTTCAAGCAGCTGTAGATTAGCAGGTTTATGTTACCTAGAAATGGGGATTCAGGATTTTTGACTAATCAGAGACATGTTTCTCTTTTATGTATGGATTATTACACAATTTAAACCAAATATTTAGAGAACCGGTTAAAACGGTATCTGAAAAAAATGACTCATAGTGACCAGACTGATTGTCTACCTGTATTAAAGGATAATATTTTTTTTTATTTTATGAGATGCTATTGATTTGAATTTTAAAGAGAATGTTGCAATTGCATTAAAAAAAACCCTCCTCATTTATAAGTCGCTTTGGATAATCATAAAATTATATGTTGCTGGGTCCGGCAGGGACAACTTCATTGATGTATGGTGTACCCTGGAATACATGAGATGGTTGCAAATGTTACCTTCATATTGCACTGCTGTTGAAGTGTCCCTTGAGATGTTTTTGAACTTTGGACAACTTTGTGGGTTTGAAATATATGGGGGTGCAGAATGGGCAGTGAAAATAACTGCAGTTATGACATATCTACTAAAAGTCCAAGGTTAAAGGCTAACGTTAGCTATCAAAATATTTTCGGGGGGAAAAGGGCCAAAAAAACATACATTAACGGCAAAAATTTTGTTACAAACTATTGTAAGGCGTGGGGTTCAGCTGGCCGTGGATTGGTTTCAATAAAGACGATGGACTTGAAATTGACGACTAATAACTTTTTATTGAACAGAGTTTTAGCGGAGCAGAGCGACACCACACTCCTCGCTCGCCACCGTCTCTACTCCTCCTCCTTCACACTCCCGCCCCTCATTACGAACATCCTCTCTCTCCCTGAGGACTCAACATCAAAATAAAAGTCCTCCACAAAAATATATAAACAAAATACATATTATAGTAGAATACAATGAATATTAAACAAATTAAACTTCACATTAGTTACCCCATGGAAAAAGAAATGTCCACGTTTTCAACATACAGAAAATACCAATGCCCTTAATAACCCAGGCAAACCAATGTGCAGATTATTAGTGCACCAAAAACTAAAAGTTTCAATAAACACAAAATGGTCTGTAGTCCAAGATATGTAAGGATTTCAGCAAAAGTTATAAAGCAAAGGATAGATAACTTTTTTTTCTTTTACTTCACCACATAGTCTTCGAACTTTGCAGGCCTGCAATTTGACAGGCCTGCAACCTAATGGTCTAGAGTCTAGAGTAGCCACATCAGTAGAACAGCCCACTTCTGAGGTTACAGTGTCCATATTATCAGGCTGAGAGACATTAAACTGTCCAGTGTTTTGAGTTGAGCTCAGCGGTAACTGTCCCAAAACCAATGACCTAGTTAAACTCCGATTGGGGACCCCTCCAGCAAAGACAACAGAAGGCAAGTTCTCTTGGACAGCAGGCGCAGAAGAACTAGAAGTAGTAGAGGGCACTCCTTTTTCCAAAGTCTGTCCGATGGGAGACAATGCATCCGATACCGTATGCCCCAGCTGATATGTGATAGGCAGGTAGGGTTTAAGATGATTATGATGTACCACTTGTGGAATGACCATGTAAAAACTGTAACACCTCTGGGACAGTTTTACTGGGAATGACAACCTGAAGAGTGGGTGACTCTTTTGGTTTGTTACAGGCAAAATTGTAGATTTTTCCATCCTGCAAATGCAGTCCATCAAACTGTCGCCAGTATACTTTGAGCTCTGTCGACCCCTTATTTAGGTTCCAAGCTGGGGGTCTCTTTCTTTCCTTTAACCACTCACTCACTGTCCTTAGTGTGACATCATCTTTTTGACACTGATCAAGATCGACTGACAAAGTCTGAGAAAGGTCTATGACAGCATGAGCGGTAAAAGGGGTGGTGGCTACAGAAGGTTCTGGTTTGTCTGACATTGAGGGAACAGAAGGAATAGTATCACTTTGACTTGGGCGTCTAGTGCATCTGCATTTGTGTGCTTTACGCCATTCCTGTGTTTTATGACCCAATTGTACACGTCAAGCTCCAATACCCAATGTGCCCTACACCCTGTTGGATCTCGATCAATAGGCATTTTCTTTAACCCTAACAAGGGCGATGGTCTGTAACAATCACAAAGGGGCATCCTTGCAAGTAGTGTGAGAAATGTCTAACGGACCAAACAATAGCCCACCATTCTCTGTCAAAAGTGGACCAGTTACGCTCTGTTGTGCTTAGCACATGACTGGCATAAGCTACTACCTTTTCAACACCCTGTTGCTGTTGTGCAAGCACGGAGCCAATCGCCTGGTGAGATGCGTCCGTATAGAGAATAAAAGACTTGCTGAAATCGGGGTAGGTGAGAATAGGAGGGGAGGATAAAGCATGACGAAAATACTGAAATGTGTCCTCACATTGTTCACTCCATGTGAATTTGGTATGTTTCTTCGTCAGAATGTGTAAAGGGGCTGCTTTTTCTGCAAAGTCTCTGATAAACCGGCGGTAGTATGAACAGAGGCCTATGAAAGCTCTAACCTCTGTAGGTGTAGTTGGACGAGGCCAATTCAGCACTTTCTCAGTCACTTTGGGGTCAGGTTGAATGCCATCCTTTGAAACCACATGTCCTAGAAAGAGTACAGATTGTTTGAAAAACTCACACTTTCGAGGATGGAGTTTGAGACCAGCCTGCCGCAATCTACCAAACACTTCAGAGAGATCTTGAATGTGATCTTTATAGGTCTTAATGAAGACTATGATGTCATCGAGATAAATCAGCGTCTTAGACCAATGGAGGCCACACAGAACAAGCTCCATCAACCTCTGCAATGTTGGGGGGGGCATTAGGGGCATCTGTGGTTCATTCCTTTTTTTTTTCTTCTCAGGAACATCACTAAGATTAGATCAGTGGTTTCTAAAGAAGAGCTGGAGATGCCTGTTCATGTTTTTATTTCCTCTCGTCTGGACTATTGCAATGCACTGTACAGTTGCTTAAACAAATCCTCCATGGATAAACTGCAAGTTGTACAGAATCCTGCTGCAAGACTTTTGGCAAAGACAAACAGAAGATCACATATCACTCCTGTGCTTAAGGCTCTTCATTGGCTCCCAATTAGTTTTTGAGTGCAGTTTAAAATTTTACTCTGTAGAAAATTGTAGTAAAAACACCTTAAGACACACCTTTTTAGACAAGCTTTTAACTAGCTATATGGTGTTGATGTAATGTGTGTTGTGTTTTTTTATTTTTTTTATTATTATTTGTTTTTTACTGTGAAGCACTTTGTGACCCTTCATGTCTGTGAAAAGTGGTATATAAATAAAGTTTACTTACTTTACTTACTTACTAGTAAGGCCCATTGGCATGACCTTAAATTGATAGAGGGAATCTCCCGTAATAAAGGCAGTTCCCTTTCGTAGTCACTCCGAGTTACGTCGGAATGACGGAGAATGGGGGTTTCGCCTAGAAAGCCTATCCTCTTCGAGTATTAAAAAACGAGCCAATGGCAAAGAAATGCCATGGGTCTGCGGAATTTGCATAGCGTATCTCCGCCTCACCCCGTAAGTATAAAAGGAGGAAGCGGACGCCACCGCAGTATGTTTTCGCTTCGGAGCCAAGAGCATATCTTCACTCCACAAGCCAAAAGATCTGAGTTACAAGTGACTCACCTCTTCGAGACGAGCGGCTCTCCAGTGTTGGTGTGACGGCGGTACCCAGCGAGTCTTCACTTTGCCTGCGGTCTGTGTTGCGGTCTGCTGGACTCAGTGTTTTCTCCCTGGTTGCCTCAGCGCTGCAGAGCTTCCTCTCCTAAAAGAGTGCACGGTGCGCGTCTTTTTAAAGATGTCTCGCCCGTGTTTTTCTGGTTGCGGTCGTTATCTGTCATCCTCTGATGGGCACGAGTGTTGTTTTGTGTGTCTGGGCTTTGAGCATGCAAAAGCAGCACTCGTGGATGACTCATGTTCTTTTTGTGGTAACATGACCATCGCTACACTGAGATCGAGACTCAATGATCTGA